TTGTCTTCCAGGACTGCGTTTGAGGATTAAGGAACCGTTTTACCCCACCTGCTTTCAGAGTCTTATTTATAATTTTAAAGTCAGGCATATTAAGTCCGCCGTCCTTAATCTTACCAATCATTGTCGGATGTTTGATTTTAGGCGGTTTGTGGTTCCATACGAAGCTAGAAAGAAGCTTACTCACTTGGTCAGCAAATCCACTGGTTACGCTGAGAACAGAGACAATAAAAGCTATCTTTGAAAGAGCTAAATTTTTGACAATGTTTATTTTCCCGTAAAGTGTTATATCTCTTGATGACCCGATGTTAATACATTTTTCTAGAGGAAGCAATCACTTTATGATATGATTCGATGGCTAGATTTAAATTACAGTGTTGACTTAATTAAAAATTACCAAAGTTAATGTAAATATTCAGAAACAAATTAATAGCAGCTGACACACTTCACAAGTCTGTTCTTTTATATTCTACGTTTTTTGCAGCACGTCCCCTCTTAAACACAAAGGACTATAGAAAAAATAAATCCCAGCAAAGGCTATTGGAATTTAAAACAAAACTTGTTGTAGCCATACATTTTTCAGAGATAATTAGCCTCCAATCTTGACCGACTAAAACAACGAATGAAAAACTATTTCTATAAAGATTTTCTTAGAATTCGTCTTTACAAACACAAAAGCAAAACTAGTCGTAAATATCTTTAAAACACAGAGAATGGTAACAAAATGCTTTGTTTGGTTTGTTTTTAATGAGAAACTCATCTTGAAATAGCACATTATAATTAGCGTCCCTGACAGCTCTTCTCTGGGCTAGACAGCGAAAAAGTCCAAATAGCATTCCTAATCAAAAAAGAGGGGTAACTAGGCGTTCTTAAAAGTTAATTTGTTCAGTCGTCAACATTGTTTTCATCCATTTTGAAATCATTCTTGGAGTCCATTACATTTTTTCTCCGCTTACCTTGCCAGTAAGATAAATGTTTGCTTCTCTCACATTTGTTTTCCGCGTTCATTATGCCATCTGCAGGCAGACGTTTTTCAGTTTGATTTAAATACATTTTTTTTACAAATTTCTGCTAGTTTTTTAGCTTTAAGCCATCAGCAGTTAGTGTAAGCGATGAGCTACTATTCAGATGTTCCTGGTTTAAGACCAAGTTCAGTAAACTAAAACAGCAGAAACATTTTGTTTCATTTTAGTCAAGCACTTGGTAGCATGCGTTGATTTGTTGATTTTGTCAGTTTCAAACTTCTTCAAAAGCGCGCGCGTGACGTGTAATCAGGACGGAAAACAGTCATCGCTTGAAGCATGACAACCTTAATCCCCACTGACACTTGCGCGCGAACTTATCGACGCCTTACTCCTTCCAATTTGCGCGTAGTCGCAAATCGACACTGTCACACTGTTTTCCTTGCTTTCTCGCCTTCGCACGTAAAACCCAAAAGTTTTCGATAGCTTACCGCATTCACTCTTACTCACCAATCTGAAAGCTTACGGTCCACGCGATTATTCGCGTCTTTTGTTGCAAGGTTACTCTCATAAAATAACTTGAAAAACGAGTAAAGATTGGCGATATCTAATCACTTGGGCTAGATTCTTCTAAGCGGCTTAGCGCTGTAAATACCTCTTTTATCACCGAAGTTGGAATGTTTTTTCATTAATTTGGTTTTGCTTGATATGCAAGCTTAACTACAATAAGCAGAACTAATAGCAAATGTATTTCTACTCGCTCACACTTAATCCTCTTCGTTCCTTGTAGAACATAGGTTGTCCACTAGTGCCCGCCGCCTGATCCTATTTTAAGCAATGCCTTTCACTTCCCACGGTAGTGCGCAATGGCATTGCTAGTTTCGGTTTCTCTAATAAGCAGGTTTACTGGGAGCGGGTTACTAACCCGCTGCCCAACCCCCTATCTGGAGGACCAGGGGCTGTTCTTTGTCAGGCCTCTACCTTACGACCAATCCGGCATGGTTAGATCGAAGTCCCAGCTGGTACAGCTCGTTGGGTCCTTGAGACACGCAAGCTTCACCGCCATGGCAAGGTGTCAGCCCAAGGTGAAAAAATATGTCTCTAGGGTCTGAAATTACCTGTTTTCCGTTGTAGAAAAGATTTTAACCACCACAAATCGATCATAGTCACTCAGCTGACACTTAAATGCCTTCTTGTCTGCCGCTGGTCCAAGGTTGATAGTAACAAACATCATTTCCTATTCTGCCATAATACGATTGGAGAGTGCCAACCCTTGATGAAAAGACAGTTTACTGATATTGATTCATTTTCATTATTGATGACGTTGGTAACTGAAATAAAGAATAATGATGATGTGTGGAATCAGAGTTTGCAGCAAGAAGTAATTATAGATTATTAAAACTCCGAGCAATGCCGAACAAGCTTATTGTTTTTAAAAAGCTGGGATTCGGAAAGCGTCATGAGTTAATGAATCTCAGCTAAAATGTCATCTACAAAACTAAAACTTCACGCTTGAGTTTGAAGGCCTCAAAGACACCCAACAGGAAATTGAATTCATTTTACAGTGGATGTCGACCCAATTAACAAATATCACAGGGGCCAGCAAATTAATTAATTAAACTAATGTTACACCTGCTAGTGCGGTGAAAAATCTCCCGGACAAAACATGTATCGAGCCTTGATGCTCACTCTTGTCTGCTCGCCAGTGTATTGTATAAGTCGTATTTCACAGCCAGGCTGGAATGGAGTCAACTTTGCCAAGGCAATAGAAGGGAGGAAGCTCAATGGAAGGATGATAAAGGAAATGGAAGTGGAGTCAGAGAGTTTCTGTCGGCTTGAGTGCGTCGAGGAGCAGCGATGCCAGTCTTACAATTTTGGAACCACAAAGAACGATGCCGGAAAATTCATTTGTCAACTAAGCGATTCCGATCGATTTTATGGTAATGCTAACTTCACAGCAGATGGAAATTTCAGATACAGAGGAATAAAGGTAACTCTAAAGAGAGGCATATCATAGCATCAACTTAACAATAAAAACTTCTTAACAATAAATATTTCTTAACACCTAATTTTCTCAACCCTCGCAAGAACAACGACTCTGTAAATCCACGTAGTTTAAGTAACATGTTCTTACTTAACTCTGAAGTTAAAAATAATAAAAACCAAAATTATGAAAAGCATAATTATAGCTTCAAAATAAACAGCTAAAATAAAATAGATGGCAAAAATAATAGATAGCGAAAGCAAATGAATGTTTTATGCAATATAATCGCATAAATGAATAATTTATGCATATCTCCAAAACAGAATGCGTGTGAGACTAAACCTTTTCCCTGCGGTGACAAAGAAGTCTGTGTCCCCGACTACCAAAGTGAAAGCTTCAATTGTAACTGTGACAGTGGCTACTCGGGACAACCTTGCAGTAAGTAATACTGAGTTTAATGCTGAATTTAAAAGTGTCCCCAAAAAAATAAATCTTACTGGCATTTTTGCAGACCCAAAGAGCTGTTCGCGCTGGCTT